AATAAAATTATATTGTATAAAAATAAAAATATTCGTTATAATTTTAAAACATATATTAATATTTATTTACAAGCCTCTCTTATATGTTTCTCACTCTCAATAAAAATATCCACAAACTTGTTAAGTACGCAGCCAAATCCATATACCCCCTGCAACTCGACCACTCAAAGGAAGGCTACAGGGCATCTGTAAAAAAAAGTAATAATAACGAAAATTGGGCATGGTTTATTAGGGCATTTTTGCTGTGACATCACGATATGGCATATTAACTTTTGTGAAGAAATTCCTGTAGGTTATTTTCATCAGCATTAAATAGACTCTGTCGAGGGTTAATCAATCAATATGGCCAGTGTTTGCCTTGCTCTGGGCATTTCGATTTAGGCCAAAAATTGAAATTTGATAATGTTCGAGGACAATAGGAAATAGGAGCTAAAACCTCCAAGCGGAAATACTTGGTAGTCATAAATAGATTTTGCAATGTATATAAATAAAATTAGTACAGAAGGTGATTTGATATGCTTATGTAAAAGGTTGTTTAAGGCTCAACTAAGTTTGCACTTTGAGAAAAAGGCCTACAGAGATCATTAGAAATGTTTTTTGAATTTCGAATGTATTGTTTCATATTTAATTTTAATTTACTACGGGAATATACTATAATGTTTTCCACGCCTCTAGTATGTATATTAAAAATATCGGAACAATAGATTCTATTGCGAGGAATTCATATTCAAGCTAAACTGACTGAGCGAAACTTTAAATATAAACCCAGTTTATACACACATACACTTAGTATATATATTTATTATATACACATACATATATGTATATATAAATATATGTACATCTGCGTGGTTTTTCATTACGTGAACTAAAATATATTTTCGCACCAAAAATCAACCTCAACACGCTAACCAATAATTCCATTATAAAACACACAAGCAACAACAGCATTTATATATTTTGATATAAAGTAAATATTTTAAATAGTAATCCAAAATGCTCTCTGACAACCGCAGAGTTCATTAACATTTTGGTTTTGTTTAGGCGCAATTGCGTAAATTAAGCCAACACAAAATTTTATAAAATAAACTAAAGTTGAGGTATGCATGTGTGTGTGTGTGCGTGTGTGTGCGTGTGTGTGTGTGTGTGAAAGTAAATACAAATGAATTCGATTTGTGAAACAATAATGTTGAATGTGATCGCTTCCGCGACGTCGCATCGGCTTCCGTTGGCAAACAAAAATAAAATCACGTATTCGCTGATGATGGCAAACGTGACAAATAATGCAACAATTTGCATGCACTCATTTTCACAGTTTTGTGCCGAAAGAGTTCACTCAGCCTCCGCTCCTATCACATCCTCAACATACTCTCACACACGTGAGTTTTATGTTTATATTATGGAGCTGCGCATCCAGGGAGAAAGACAGTTTGCAAAGTTCGAATGAGTCGTTTCAATGACTAAAGTGGCAATTGCCAGAGTATATTTATTTTAGCGACGAGAGTTTGCCAAATTATTGTCATTAGTTACTGAATCAGTTGCCACGCCTATTTCTCCTTCTGTTCCTCCTCCTCCCACACACACACACAGACACACATGAGGTGATGTCCTTGTTAGCGTTGAATAGCCTTGGGGCAGCTACTACTACTACTACACACACTCACACACATGCACCCATTCACCCACATACGAGTACATACCTACATTTGTATGTTGCTCTTAAAGTTTGCTCTACTAGGTAATTAGCCAATTTGGCGATGCTGTCAGGGGAGCATTCCTTTGCTCTCTATCTGTGTGTAGCTTTAACGGCAAATGTGTGTAGCAAAAAAGTTTTTCCTAATGTCAAACATAAACAAAGAATGTTGATTTTCGGTTTGGTATTTACTTTAATAGACTTGGGCAGTTGGTTAAATTATGTATTATATATGTAAGTATGTATACCGATGTATGCATGAAAGTCTGTATCTCAGACTACTCGCTCTGTTCATTCTGATGCTATTTACACATACATACACAGTCATATGTATGTAGCCTAAGGGATCAATACATATTCACGCACAAGTTGCACTCTCTTAAAGCTGTGCTAAACTAAATACTCACAATACTCGAATTCAATTTTCGCACAGCAAAGACTAAAATCATATGATCAGAGTAGGACATATATAAATCCAAAAGAATATATGTATGTGTAAATCCAAACGATAATCAAAAAGAAGTACGATATTGTAAGCAACTAACTGTTAATCAATTTTCACATCTTCTCTGCTTGGTCGCAAAGAGTGAGGGAAAAAGTGAATGTTGAACTGAGAAATGAGAAATGATGCCGTTACTACACTCGTTTTACTAACAGGCAGAAGGAGTTGTGGCAGTCCTTATAAGATATATATA